TAGATTGCGAATTTGGACACGGGACAAACACCATTGTGTTTAGGCCGATCTCTACATTCCGTAGATATGCCAAATGAGCAAATCTGGACACTTTCCATAAATAGCATTTGGGACCAAAATGAGACTAACACAAAGGGCATGATAGCGAAGGTGTTTGGCAGACACGGTAAGCTATCATCTAGCGATATTGAGGGACCAATCTCAATATCGCGGGGGTTCTTGATACTAGCAAGTGCAAGCCAATGACAGGAGTTTCTCAAACCAGGCCGAGTATGCTCAGCAAGAAACACATAGGGTTCCTACCTTATGTTTATCCGATCTAAGTACACGGTCATTGACCAGTTTCTCAACTAGCTCAAGTGGGAAACTGATAACGGGTCCAGCAATACCGACCTCCTGCCATCGTGGCAGTAAGGTAAGAGTGTCCGTAAGGACTAGTCGACAGGTAACTTTCGATACCCGAAGTCACATGCGCGACAACATGCTAGTGTTACCTTATAAAAATGGTTTATCGTTCAATAAGGACATCAAACTTTATCTATGGGTGGTGGAGTTGTGAAACACAAATCCCAAAGCCCCAAAAGTGGAGCTGAAAAAGTGTCACATGATAGTGGCTGAAAAGGAAGCCAAACAGGAGTAATACGTTTGGATTAAAAGCTTCAACTTGGATAGTCGAGAGTGGGAATGCAACTCCTAACAAAGTGCTCGAGGAACGAGCACGAAGCAAGTAATAAGTAAGTCTCTAGAAAAGAGACACACGAAGACCAATACATGACACGTGGGGGGGTCTGAGATGGACTCGAGATGGTGTCTGAGATGGAGTCCAAGATAGAGTCCGAGATGGACCTAAGATGGAGTCCAAGATAAAGTTCAAGATGGAGTTCGAGATGGACCCAAGATGGAGTCTGAGATGGAGTTTGAGATGGAGTCCGAGATGGACCCAAGATGGAGTCCGAGATGGTGTTTGAGATGGAACCGAGACCGAGACCGAGACCGAGTCTGAGACTAAAACCAAGACCGAGTCCGAGTCTGAATTCGAGTCCGAGGTTGAGTCCGAATTTGAGTTCAAGTCCGACTTCGAGTCCAAATACTAATACAGGCTATTGGGTGAAAGCCCAAAGCAATCGTCCCCCAAGGGGGGGCGGGTTGCAAGGGGTTCCAAAAGTATAGTAGGGAGAGTGTGGGGTTGGACCACAGTGGAACCAATTTGGCCAGGAAAGGTGAGTTTGGCCCAAGAAGGTTGTACCAGGTGTTAGGTGATGAGATAACCACTAGGAAGTCCAAGGCTAAAGTGAATATGGACCGACAAGTGGGGACCCGAGATGGACCCGAGATGGAGTCCGAGATGGAGTCTGAGATGGAGTCCGAGATGGAGTCCGAGATGGAGTTCGAGATGGACCCGAGATGGAGTCCAATATGGACCGAGATGGATCCGAGATGGAGTCCAAGATGGAGTCCGAGATGGACTCGAGATGGAATCCGAGATGGAGTCCGAGAAAGACCGAGATGGAGTCCGAGAAGGACCCGAGATGGAGTCCGAGGTCGAGACCGAGACTGGGACCGAGACCAAGACCGAGATCAGCACCGAGACCGAGACCGAAGCCGAGGCCAAGACCGAGCCCGAGTCCGAGTCCGAGTCCGAGTCTGATTCTGAGAGGGTGAAAGCCCAAAGCATTCGTCTCCCAGATCCTAGGGGTTTGGTGAGCTCCAAAAGTATAGTAAGGGGGAGGACTACAGTGGAGCCAGTTTGGCCAGGAAAGGCTAGTTTTGCCCAGGAAGGCTATACCTAGTGTTGGGTGATGAACTACCCACTGGGAAGTCCAAGACTAAAGTGAACACGGACCGACAAGCGGGGTAGCTTGGTGAAGTGTTCAAGAGCCAGCTCTAGTTCCCCCGAGAGATCGACTAGCCAATGCTCCCAGTCCAAGTGTGGGTGGCACTACCTACTTGGATACCTAGCGTGGCTCAACAGAACCTCACTCTAAGCCCATAGCTAAAGCACCCAAAGGCGGAAGGCAGGGAGAGTACCCAGGAGGCTTGCGTAGGGCCACGGTGTTCCGAAATGTTGTCCCAAAGTCCCAAACTGTGGAAAGGAAGAGGAGTAGTCCTCTGGAGTGGTGACCAAGGACATGGTCACACAGTGAGAAAGTCCCAGTGGACAGTGGGACTTGATGGTTAGGCCTATGGACCTTGATCCAGTGGCAATGTTGGCGAACACCGCCATGGACATAAAGGGCCTTAGTGGGGACTAGAAAAGAGATATCGGGGAAGGCTATTCCCCATGTTTGCGGGCATCCTAAGGATGCTAATGAGTGGATCTAGGATGATCACTCATGGATGGATGGCCTAGTCTTTGAGAGACGGGACTGTGATGTAGGTGTCGTTAGACCACCGGTGTGACTAAGATGAATGGGCATGGCCTTAGCGTAATGGGCTGATATGTCAGTGGTACTTTGGGGTGTCGGTCATGGGTCGGACATATGGAGCACTTGGACCAAGTGCTAAGGTTGAGTGGCATGGATGCCATTCTCGGGGTTAGCAAGTCCCAAGTCCTGAATTGGACTTATGGAGGTTGTGAATGAGACTCCTCAAAGTGGTCGGAGGTGTAATTAATTGACTAAAGTAGAATGGAAAATTTAGCTGCTTACACAGTCTTTGAAAAACGGGACTATGATGTAAGTGGCGTTGGACCATCAGTGTGACCAAGGTGAATGGGCATGGCTTTAGCATAACAAGCTGATATGTCAATGGTACCTCGGGTGTCGGTCATGGGATCGGACACATGGAGCACTTGGACCAAGTGCAAAAGTTGAGTGGCAGGGATGCCATTCTTGGGGCTAGTAAGCCCCAAGTCTGGAATTGGACTTATGGAGGTTGTGGGAGAGACTCCTCTAAATGGTCGGAGGTGTGGTTAAGTGAGTAAAGTAGAATAAAAAATTTAGTCGCTTATAGTCAGTTTAAAGTTGAAACAATTGAAGTATGTATTTGGGTCCAAAGACACAACCTATCTTAGGTACTATATTTTTCGTGAGGGTTTGCAAGTTGATCCTAACAAACTTGTGGCTATGCTAAAATTCCTTACTCCGAAGTGTGTGAATGATGTATAGCACTTCTTAAGGAAGGTGTAGTATCTTGGTCATTTTGTTGATCATCTTTCTAATTGCATTGCACCATTGTGAGCATTACTAAAGTCATCAATATCATCTTTCATCTAATCTGTAGATTGTGAATGAGCATTTACGGATCTTAAGAGTTGTTAACAACTCCTCCAATTTTGGTTTATCTTGACTACACTCGACTTTTCATTTTCCATATGGATTGATATCGATTTTAGAGGTGTGTTAATGCAAGAGAGCCTAAGTGTGCCTAGTCAGTACCATCCCATTGTGTATATCAACTATACATTATAACCAGCGGAAGTGAATTACTCCACAACAAAGAAAGAGTGTTTAACAACAGTTTGGGGTTTTGAGAAATTTCATGTATATTTACATGGTTCTTGAACATTATTAAAAGGTGATCATGCTGCAATTGCTTCATTATTGAAATAAAAGAATTTGGTTAGTTATATTGTTTAGTGGGTTTTGAAGCTTTAGATATATGATTTTGATACTATTTATCACTTAGGGAGTTTTATAATTGATATTGATGCCTTTTTTCAAGCTCCTCTTTGTTCTTCACTCTCTTATCATATTTCTGATGAATTTATTATTCCAGCATTGGTGGATTGTTTGGATGAGGATTCTATGTTGTTAGTGGTTGCCATACTTGACGTTCAATGTCCATAAGGTGTAGAGCAGGATTTACTTTCTCTTGACGAAGTTCGCGAAGCTCAAAAGATTGAGCCATGGATTCAAAGGCTTTGCGATGGGTTTGAGAATTCTGCATCACTTATTGATGATTTGCTATTTCGGCATTTACATTTTTAATATTACCTTCAGAACGGTTATCTTTATTTTCTAAGGATGGATCTTAATGATATTTATGGCTAGTGGTGCTTTCAATCTTTACTCCACGCTTTTTATATGGCTATTGTGATTCTCCTATTCTAGATGAGCATATGGGATATCATTGTGTGACCTAGAAGTTCCACAAGTCTTTTTAATGGCCAAAGATGCGACATGATATTATCTAATATGTGTGTAGCTACGTTTGGTGTCAAGTTTGTAATACTCCCCCTTGTATTGTGGAAGGATAGTTAGAGTCAATTGCAATTTCCCATTCATTTAAGTTGGTGGTATTTGATTTGATTAGACATTTTCCATTATGGACTACTGGCAATGAGTATATCATTATTGCTTTTGACTATTTAACTCATTTAGGTGAAAGTTGGTGCTTTTACTAGCATGTCTACAACTATTGTTAGATACTTCCTCCTCAATCGAATGGTATTCTAGCATTTCTATTTTGAGCAAATTCTTTCAAATAATAGTTCTGCATTTATGGTTGAGATATTTCACATTTTGACATTTCAATTAGGGATATATTACACTTTTATAAGTGTTTATCATCCATAGTCAAATGGTTTGGTAGAATGGCTCATTCGGACCTTTAAAGGGATGATCGTGAAATACATGAATTTTCAACATTCGGATTGAGATGGTTATTTGCCATTTTTTTCAGTATGTGTATATTATAGAGGTGTAAAGTCTTATTGGTGTTTCACTATATAAACTTTTATATACTCATGATCTAATACTACTAATAGAGTTAGGTTTACTTTCGCAATTGCCATGGGTTACTAATGCTAAGTCGTGGGATTAATATTTAACAAGCATTCTTCCACTTATTTAAGCAAAATTTATTAAATATTTGGGCCACATACAAGTGGGATAATAATGGCATTACAACTTCTATTATCGTTCACTTACAAAGTACAAAGTAGACTTGGTGTTAGTCCATTTTAATTCATTAATTCATTGCCAAGTAAACACTAAAATTGAATTTTACATTTAAAGTCAAAGAAAGTCAAAATGCTTAGAAATATTCTTGAAATTTTACAACTCTTCTGCTTTCGCTGAAGAAAGAAGGAAAGATCGTTGGCTATGGCCGCTGCTCTCGGGGGTTCCCTAACCCTAGCACCGCGAGTGGCGAGCTCACCGCCTGGGAATCTCGCGCCGGCGAATCTAGTGGGGAAAGCTGGCGCTGGCAGTAGAATCGAGGCGAGGGTTTCCAAGGTAGCTCTGGCTATGGCGGCGGGCTCGCCCGTGGAAGAGGCAGTGCACGCTTCGGTATCAGGGGTAAGATTCTATCGCATTTCTTTTCGCAATTTATCCTCGACACGATGTCGACATTAGCGTGTAGTACAAAGTAGCTCGTAGTAGTACCACTACGACTGTGTCGTGATTTCTCATTGTACTACTCTTTGCATGGCCTTCCTAGATCATCCATTTCTCACTCGCCCCGCGATTGTCACAGGCCACGGGAGGAGAAACTTTGCCGGAGCTCCTGGTGAGAGAAGTTTTTGATCGATCAGGGGATGGAAATTGGTTGATCTTTGCTTAGACAGAGTATATGGTGGACATGAAATGCGAGGGTTGTGTCAAGTCGGTTCGCGGCAAGCTGGAGCCTCTGGAAGGTCGTCTGGAATTCTCTCTTTTTTTCTCTAAAGTGGCTCGTTTTCTTCGCAGTACAGGCGTGAAAGCTGTGACCGTAGATCTGTCTAATCAGGTTGTCCGTGTTCTCGGCACGGCTCCAGTGAAAGCCATCTCCGCGGCACTCGAAGAAACCGGCCGCAGTGCCAGGCTCATCGGACAAGGAAGCTTGGAAGGTGAAGTTTGCTTTCGAGCTGTTGTTTGTGGATTTCCTCGTGAGATTTTTTCTTTCTTTGTGTAGATTTTGGAGTCTCTGCTGCGGTCGTAGAGTTCAAGGGCCCCGAGATCCATGGCGTGGTTCGTTTCGCTCAAGTCTCCATGGAGCTTGCTCGCATCGAAGCCACTTTCACCGGCTTGACTCCCGGCGCTCACGGCTGGTCGATCAACACATATGGTGATCTCACCAGAGGCGCTGCGAGCACCGGAGCCATTTTCAATCCTCAGCAGCAAGACACCGAGGTACACAAAAACATATTTTTTTTCCTTCTCGACTCATTTGGAAACTTGTCCCAGCCTCTTGGAGATCTTGGAGCTGTTGTAGCCGACGAAACCGGGCGGGCGGACTTCGCAGGAACAAAGACCGGCTTGCGAGTCACGGACTTGATCGGCCGAGCTCTCGCCATCTACGCCACCGCTGACAAATCCGTCCACGGCATCGCCGCCGCCGTAATTGCTCGAAGCGCTGGAGTCGGGGAGAACTACAAGAAGCTGTGCTCTTGCGATGGAACCATCATCTGGGAGTCGTGAAGTTCTTGCAAACAAAAAAATTCTCGTAGCTATGATCGACTAGTACAAGAAGCTGTGCTCTTGCGATGGAACTATCATTTGAATCGTGAAAGAAGAAAAAATCTCGTAGCTATGATCTTGCGATAGAACTATCATCTGGGAATCGTGCAGTTCTTGCTAAGTGAATCGAAAAAATTCGATATTGGTACTTGGCTATAGTAATTTGGATTCCGTGCTTCCGGGGGACAAGATCTTAACTAACCCAGTACGACACCTTCTTGCCTTCACGTCTGTACGGACGCGCGCGCGCGAGATGACGGCATATTCTCCCGCGACGGTTTATTCCGTGGCGCGTGTAGAATATGCCGCTTATTTGGACATGACAGCTATGGTCGCCTTGTTCTTCACTCTTTTTTCTTCCCCTTCTTCGATCGTCGGCGCGGCACCGCATGCGCTGCTAGATCTCACGAGAAGAATCCGAGCTCCGCGAATCCCCCACGCATCTCTCGAGTTCTTGGAAGGATTTTGGCGGAGCGATGCGCGTGTAGGCGGAGGGCAATGCGGTGGAGCGCGATCCAGCTGGTGATGGCGCTCGCGCTGCTTTCCACGCGCTGCGATGCGCTCGTCCAGGTATGGGGATTCTGGCTAGCGATCGAGCGCCATGCAGCGGCAAAATCTCTGGAAATTTCATTTCTTGGTTGGTTCTTTCTTTCGTTCTTTCTCTGGCAGGATGAGAGGATCTCGGTGGGATTGAGCAAGAGGCCGGTGGCGTGCGTGTGCGCCGATTCCTCGCGCGCGCCGGTGTGTGGGATCGATGGCCACACCTACACCAGCGCTTGCGTGGTACGTTTTTGGTACCCTCTCGCGATCGGATCGAGCGATTTCCCGCAAGAAACTAACGCGCGATTTTCTCACAGGCAGCGTGCCGGGGCGTGGAGGTGAGATCGCGCGGCGCTTGCATTGGAATTCTTGGGAGAAAGAGGCCGAGGAGTTCTCACTCGTGAGTTAAGAGAGAAGAAAAAATTCCTCTCTCTCTTGCGTAGGGTCGAATCTCGTGAGTTAAGCGAGGAGAAGAAAAAATTCCTCTTTCTTTCCTCTCTCTCTCTCTCTCTCTTGCGTAGAGTCGCATCTCGCGACCATTTTGGAGGGTTTCACGCTTTCTCCTGTCGCTTTGGAAAAGCGCGGAAGGAAAACTTTGTTTCTTGCGATCTCGATAATCAAGCATCTTTCTTCCACCAAAAGCCAAGACAAAAGAATCTATGAACCCTAATATATACCCCCGCCACCTTTTCTTTTCCTTGCCTCCATAGCCGAGCTCTTTTATCTTTGCAAACATCTATTGCGCAAATCGAATTAAGTTCTAAAAAGAAAAGCAACAAAAAAAAGAGCAACAAACAAGCTCAAAGCTTAGAATCTATCTGATCAAAGCCTACTCAACTTGGGCAGTACAGCCGATGCCGAGTTCGGACTGAAAATTGAACGCCTCGCGAACCTCTTCAAGAGTCTTAAATGCATCCAGGTTCAAGGAGTCGTCGTGCCCAGCATACGGAGTTCCCTCCAGGTCCTGTTTAACCACAGGGAAGAAAGGCGCCAGCTTGTTGAGGAGAGCAGCCATCCTACTAATCCGTCCACTGTCCATCACGTTCACAAACCGCTGGTGATCTCGGCAACACTCCACCAAGGGCCCAAGCCCAGCCGCGCCAAGGAGGCTAATCACCTCCTCGTTGCTCCAAATCCACGTCACCGTGGCTGTCCAATGGAGAGCGAGGGAAAGACATAGGCAGCAACTTGAGGACTAGCTTCGTCTGTGATGAGATCGGGATGGAGCGTGAGTCTGGAGAGCACACTCGAAGAATGGTGCTCAGCACCAACGCCTTGGGGGGCCTCACAGGGCTGAGTTTCTCCTCCTCGCTTGCTTCCTCTTCCTCCTTTGTTTCCCTGCTGAACCATCTTGTGGGCAGCGATGAACATGAAGCGCAAGTAGCATGACCAGTAGTCGCTGCTCCCCATGCTGACATAGTCATAACAATCTTCTTCTTCCTCCTCTGAAACCTCAACTTCCTCCTGCTGCTGCTCTTGTTGCTCTTCCCCCTCTTCTCTCTCTCTCTTCTTCTTGAGGAGTGCTTTTCGGCGAGCTTGTAAATGCTCCTTCGCCCAGTCGGGAGCCCTGAAAACGATCCCGCGAGTCATACTACTCTATACTATTCGTAATGCCCTTTACATATAGAAGAGAAACGGACAGCTTCAAGCTCAATAATCAAGCTTAACTAAATAAGTATATTATTGTAAAATAATCTGGTATATCCATAGTTTGTCTTAAGCTGAAATTAATTAAGTATATTCTTGGTATATACTTTATAATGTGTATGTATACTTGTATACTTGTATACTTGTCCACTACTTGTATACTTGTATGTTTACGTATACAACATTGCCCTGATGATGGGAATGCGTCATTATTTCAATAGATCAAATTTCAGATATCCTCTGCATATCTTCTAAGTTTGTCACCACAAAGCAGTCCCATAATCGTGTCATTAACTAGGTACACTCCTTTTATAAAGAATCGACGTATTTTCCCACCATCTTAGCTCTCAGTGAACCATGTCGATGTGAGAACTCAAATCCCGCTCGCTGTGCACGGCCATCCCACAAATCGGGCACAAAACCGAGAGAGACTGCCGGAAACTGGAGGGGATCGATGGCGGCGGCGGCGAGCTCTTTGCTGGAATGCTACTCGGACCAAAGTGGTCGCTCTCAAAATGCCGGTTGATCGCGGTCACCCCGTCGAAGATCTTGTCGCAAATCGGACACTGCTCACTGGTGGATTCTTCTTCTTCTTCTTCTTCTTCTTCTCTTGGGCCGCTGCTAAGACTTCCAGCACCACCGTGGACTGCTGCTCGATGCAAATCCATGGCCTTCAGCATCACGGCCCGGTGGCAAACGTCACACTCGTCCGTCCGCGAGCCACAGCTGCTCTCGTGCTGGCTCAACCCGTTTAGCCTGTCTCGCAAATCCTTGGCATCGCCCCCGGCTTGTACCACGTCCCCGCAAAATCTACACGTAATCTTTCGCAGTGGACAATCGGTAGCCTTGTGTTTCACCTGAGATTGGAAGAAGATTCTCAATGTGAGCAAAAGAGAAACAGAAAAGTTCTCGTGCTTACCATGGCCTGCATTTCCAAGACGACTCCACAGTCGCAGCTGTGAGCGACATGGAACACCTCTAAGTGTTTCTGGAGCTCCTCCTGCCGGAAAGCTTCACCGCAACCCGGGCAATGGACGTGCTGGCCCGCCTCCTCCCGCCGAAGAACGATCCCACAGCCCGGATAGCCACACGGGACGTTGTGACGGATGCAGTAGGCCTCGTGTAGCGGAAGCGTACGCGATGGTATCATCTGCTTGCAATTGCCACAAGTCTCGTAGCCATCCTGGACCATCTTCGCCTCAGCACCTCCAACTCTGTGACCTGCCGCTGGCTTTTCTCTGGATTCCCTCCCCTCCACAGCCAGCGTGAAGCTGGACACGCCTCTAAATCCAAACACCGCGATGCTGTAAACTCCTACCGACGCGCCTGCTAGACTGATAACTTTCGTCCCCGTGTCGTGTGACGACCACTGATGCTCATCTCGCGAGGGAAAAATTACCGGATGGGCAGCAACATAGACGTCGGCATCGCCGCCACCGCCACCAACTTGCAACCGGATCAAGAGCTCCAACTCGTCTTTGCTCGCAGCATCCGCCAGCTTTTGATCGACGCTGAACTTGTAGTACCTGTACTGGCCTTCTTCCACTACACCACTCTCGGCTTTGCCTATGAGAAGTGGCACAATCTTCCCGGGAAAGCTCTCCTTTAGCGGCGCATCCACGTCCACTTCCATGTCCGTCTCGAGCACCGACACTGCCGAGGCCGGTTGGAGCTCCAGCACCAGGAGCCTATGATCCACGCCCCCAAAGCTGACGCTCAGGACGTCTCCACACGATAGAGCTGCGTGATGGCGGAGCTTCGTCTCCAGCACGGCCTTGTGATTGGGGACGTCGCCAAAGTCGGGGCTCTCCGGCTGGAGCTTGGCATATCTTCCTTTGGGAAGCCTTACGTAGCGAACTCTCACACTGCTTTGCTCGTCACCCTCGAGCAAACCCGCGTTGCTCCAGACGTGCCAAGGCAGCCCCACGAATCCCTCCTCCGCGGTGAATTCCAAAACCCCGCCGTGCGTCGCCGCGATCTGGCTGGAACTCGCATTGTTCGAAATCTCGAAGAACATCGGGCCCTTGTCGATGGCATTCTGGGACGCCAGTACCTCAAAATCCGCGGCAGGCAGCGTGATCTTGTCGCCATCGCCAGGAATCTTGAAAGCTCGAAGAACCCTGCTGTATCGAACCCCATCCCCCAATTCTCGATCCTCCTCGTCTTGCCGCTGGGCCTAGTACCAGGCATCGATCGCAATGAGAAATCCGAAGAGATCGAGAAGAGGACTTACCGCAAGCGCAGCTTCCGCCGCTTCGATCCGGGCCCGGCGCCGAGCTTCCTCGATCGCCTCGTGCTGCCTAGCCGCCGCCTCGCGAGCTCTCCGCTCCCTCTCCAGCCGCGCCCTAGCCCTCTCTTTCTTCTCCGCTTGCTCCCTCTCCCATTTGGCCTTGGCGGCCTTGAGCTCGAAATCCATTGCCAATGAACCCTAAAAAAGAAGAGTCAATGCTGACACGCCCAAGCAAAAAGACGTCGACGAAAAACTACCCGAAACTACTAGAAGTATCGATCAAGACCATGAAACAATAGTTATTCAAATTAATATTCAAGTAAATACCTGTTAAACAGTCAGGTTGAACTTGCGTAAGAAAGCAAGAAGCAAGGAAGAAAACTCAAGAGCTTACATCTTAGATTGTTGTCCACGGTCGAGCGATTCCAGTTACAGAACCTGCTCCATGACCCCACTCCAATCTGTAAGGCCAATAGAAAACAAACACTTAAACAACTAGTCTCTACAGAGCTACATGCTATGGCTAAAGCACTTTCAAACATCTCTACAAAAAGGAGAAAGAACTGACTTACAGCTTTCCAGATCACACCGTGTTAGTCGCTCCTCTCCTGCTTCTCCACAAACCCTGGAGCTCTGGGTCTCTGGGTGGCCACTGACCACCACAAACATCCCCGTGCCACAAAGATCCCACAAAGATCCCTGTTGCTGCCTCTCTCTCTACGATCGCCTCT